AAAAAAAAAAAAAACTAGAAATGTCCATTTTTCTATAGAAGTAGCCAGACTAGATATCTCATGCTTGCTTACATGACAAACCATTTTAATTTTTGTCTGTTTAGTTTTCATTTACTATTATTTTTTTCCTAAATGAATTATTTCATGTGCCACTTATCACATGTTAAATGACATTTCTCATTAAAATAGCAACATATGCTCAGTGAGGAAAAGTTAAAAAATAGAAAAGCCAAAGGAAATTCTATCATCTTCAGTTGCTAGAGAAGTAAAGAAACTAATGGTTTGTTTTTTGTTTTATTTATTTTTTGCATAGAAATCTAAACAAAAGCTGATTTAGAGTAGAAATATGAACCATGGGTCCCTTTGGAGTCTTCAGAAAGAAGTTTTCTTTACAAGAAATCTTTCATTGTCTGGACGAGTACCTTCTTTTATAAAACTTTTAGAAGCTGACCTAATTGGAACAATCTGGTCAAATCACAAAAACTCAGATTTGAGTATCAGCTCCAACATTTTCTAGTTGTGACCTTGGTCATATTACTAAACCTCAGAGTGTCCATTTCCTTTAACAATGATGGTGATAGGTTTGGAGAAGGTGAAATAGGTAATACATGTGCAGTGGAATCTCTGAGTGGTGCAAAAGTTGAATGCACTCAGTTGCTAACTGAAAGGTTGGTGGTTGGAGTTCACCCAGAAAGGCCCTGGAAGAAAGGCCTGATGATCTCCTTCCAAAAAACCCGTCACTGAAACCCTAGAGAGCACAGTTCCACTCTGATACAATGGGGTCCCCCTAGAGAGCTCAGTTCTACTCTGATACAATGGGGTCCCCCTAGAGAGCACAGTTCTACTCTGATACAATGGGGTCACCGCAAGTCAGAATTGACTCAATGGCAACTGGTTTATGTGCATAGTACTAATTGCGTAGCTAGCATTAGATGGGAATTGGTTATTGTAAAAGTCAAAATCAACAAGCAGGAAGGAAGAGAGGGATAAAATGTCACAAAGGCAAACCTATGCTATGACACAACTATTATCTAAAAGAAAAAAGGTGTGAGGAGAGTCGTAAGTCAGTTGAGTTGGCAAGTAACAGTTGCGTACCTAGCATTGTGGTCAAAGATACAAGATATGAGCATTGAGGCTTGATCTATTCCAAATGAACTTATTAAAGTCCATGTAGTGGTGTTTTTAAGAAAATTCAAAAGATAATTGCCTTCGGTGATATTAAGAAAACCCACCAGCCACTCCACGAAAGGAAGACGGGACAATCTTCTTCTGTAGAGGTACCACTTCAGAAACCCAGGAAGGGTCGTTATGAGTTGAAACTGACTCAATGGCAGTGAGTTTGGTTTTTTTTTGGTTTGTGGTATTGGGGTCAAGGACTAGGTGAGAAGGCAGGAGGCCTGAATTCTAATCCTGCTCTGATTCTGCTTTTGTAAATGAAGGGAATTGCATTTATAAAAAGTATGTTTCTAAACAAATATTTTATACTAGTGAGTTAATCAAAATACTTTCCTATATATTATTGTCAACTCTTTAAATTGTCAAGGAAGTTCTTGTGTTAAGTGAGGGACAGATTCAGAGAAGCAAAGTGATTTGGACAAGGTTATCCACAGGAAGTGGTATAATCGTATTCCAGACAAAGTCTGTCATTTCAATGTCTCCAGCACCTGATCCCATACTACACTAAGGTCCCTTCTACTTTGTATGCTGCGTCGCTGTTCTATTCAGACCACCACATGGAAGCAGCTGGGCTTTAGACATGAGTCAGGAAGGAAGAGGTGTGGGGCAAGGCCCAGGCTTACCAGACACAGCGAGTCCTCTCTGGAAAATTTCATACATGGTTTTAGCGTCTGAGAAGTAGTACGATACTAGGTCGTTGTTCTTCTGGAGAGGGCCCTTCCGTGCTCCTCCCTAAAACAGAAGACCAAGACGTCAAAAATAAAACTCCTTGTCCTCTGAAGGAATTTAAGGTCTTGTTGTCTATTTGGATGCAAGCATCAAGGAAGAAGGAAGAATCAAAGATGACTAGGCAACTGGATAGGAAGAGGTGCATTTGACTGAGGTGGAGAAGGAGGGGAACAAGAATGGGCGTGTATGTGTGTGGGAGGGGAGATGGGGTGTGCAGTAAGAGACTTGCTGAGTTTGAAGTACTTTAGGCTCATGGAGGTGGACAGGCCCATGATCTGGGTCCTTAGGCCTGGAGCTCAGAGGAGAGAATGACACTAGGAAGTAAGAGTGTGTGGAACAGCCTTTGGTACTTTTACAAGTCATAGAAAAGGAGGCGTTATTTCAGCTAAGAGACTTTGGAACAAGGATTGGCAGCCTACAATCTGCTGGCCAAATCCAGTCTGACACCTGCTTTGATAAATAAAGTTTTATTGGAACGCAGTCATACTCATTTGTTTATATATTGCCTGGTGCTTTAGTGCTACCACAACAGAGTTGAGTGGTTGCAACGCAGACAATACGACCTTCGAGTTTAGTTTATAGAAACTTTTTGCTAATCCCTGCTTTAAAAGAATCAGGAGATTCTGAAAATGAAAGACTAGGATGAAGAGAGGTAAGAGCCTAAGTGAACAAGGAAGGGTGTCTAAGAATTAGGAAGAAATCCTGTTGAAGAGAAAAAATTTCACAAAAGACGTCTCAAGTCAATTGAGAGGAAGGTTGGAGAAGTCACTGAATTTAGAAATTATGTTGTTATTATTCATGACCCAGAGCAGATCAAGGGACATGATAGTGGTAAAAGGCAGAGCTCAGTTAAATTCCAGAAGGGAAAACCCACAAGTAGACTGTGCCTGAAGAATTCCAGTGGTAAGAGGAAAGGGTAAGAGGGAATGGTACCTGAATCAGTATGATTTCCGAGTTGGGGGAAGGAGATAGTAGAAAGCACACAGGGGGTTAGGTTGGAGAAGGGACAGGAATGCTTTTTCTTTGGAGAAGATTGAGGATGAATAGATGAAAAAAAAAATACTCATGGAGACAGAAAGGAGACATGAGGAAGTAACATTCTTGGAGGTCTCAGGTTGCTCGGTGGTACAAGAAGTTGGCGAATTTGCTGATAGTGGGATGGGGATGAGGTTGAAGGGGAAAAGCCCAGAGCAATTCTGTCAGTTTTAAGAATAAATACTAACTCAAAGCTGGAATTCAAATCAAGGCAATGACTTTTTCACCATTCTCAGAATCTGGGTATCTCAATGACCATGTTCTTCCACTCTAAGTGCTAACTTAACCATTTAGATCAGTAGTTGGCAAACTTATTCTATAAAGGGTCAGATAGTACATTCTTTAGACTTTGTGGAAGCCATTATTTCTCACATTTTTTAATACTTCTCTTTAAAAATCTAAAAACCATTTTTAGCTTGCAGAAAAAAATAAAAATAAATACCATGCTGTCAAATCAGTTCTGACTCACAGCCCCCCAATGTACTAGAGTGGAACTGCCCCACAGGGTTTTCTTGGCTGTCATCCTTATAGAAGCAGATCATCACCCCTCTTCTCCAGCACTGCTGGGTGGATTCAAACTGCCAATCTTTATGTTAGTAGCTCAGCACAAACCATTTGTGTCATCCAGGGACCTTAGGTTACTAGCTGTATATAAGGAATGGATTTTACCCCATGGCAACCAGATCTAAATTACTTGTTGCAACACCTATCTATGGTTTAATTATATTACAAAGGAAAATAGGCCAGTAATAGAAGTTTAAATTTGGAGCTTATCTGTCGATAGGTGACCTAAAAGGCTTACTTTCTCATGCTGTAATCAATCCCCCTCAGGAGGCACTGCAAGGTTTTGAATTACAGTTTACATTCAATCAATATTGCAAGATTGACCAGTTTCTTTTGTTTTGTTTTTTACTGGTACATTACCTCAATTCCTACGGACTGGTTGTTTAGGTCGATAGGAGGAAAGACTGGCTGAGGTCTGTTGATTAACCACAGGAAGATGGCGGCTCCAAATGTCAGGATGCAGATCAGGGCCGGGGTTGGAAGTGGGGAAAACAAGAAGTTGAAGATAAAAAGCATTTTTGTGAACAGGAGCAGCGAGAAATTTAGACCTTAAAAAAAAAAAAAAAAAAAAAGAAAGGAAAATTTAGAGGAAATGGTCACATTTTCTTACTTAATAGCTCTAAATTTATAAAAGGACACATACACACACACACATACCCCATCTAACCCAAATAGCCAGGGTTAGATTCCTCTAGTAGCAACATTTCTCCTGTTGTTTACCTTAGCAATGTTGAAAATAATAGAACATGCCCACCCCTGCTATTTGACTGTTCTTGCCATAAGAGGAAAAGATCAAAGAAAATAAGTTAATCATTTCCCAGACAATTTTGAGAAATGATTGTCCTTTCATTTTTGAGCCTGAAGCCTGGAAGAAATCTTGCTGGAACCAACGTAAGCTGGCAGTCAGAGGAGTTTGCCTCTGCCCAGGCTGTGGGTGGCCAGGATGGACTATTCCAGATGGATTTCCCTGGTATAAACCAAAGAGATGAGACTTTGTGGACAATGTCTTCAAGACAGGTAACTTGTTAGAAATCAAGCGTTTATGTACCAAAGATGTTTCCTGCTGGCCAGGCATGGCTTGCTCATAGTTTCTTTCTGTAGCACCAGGAAGGACTCAGAGACTACTAGCTTTCCAACCTACCATGTCCAATCTCCTTTCCTCCAAGGGCCCCAGAAAAACCATTTCTAGGCAAACATTAGCCAAGTACACAGAATGGGCCCAACCCATGGGAGAAGGTGAGCTTGAAGATTTAGGCCGGGATGAGCTCTCAAAGAACTAAACGCAACAAACTTCCCCCAACCCAGTTATTCTTACCATTTGTACTCAGATTCAGCTTTAAACCACTCTAATAGCAGGGCCTTCTTTGGGAAAGGCCCTAGATACATACCCTTGAAGCCATCTATCCCTATTCTTGCTTCACCACTTTCCGATGGCTTGATCAGGATAATAATAGCAGCTCATGACCACAGCAAACATGAACACTGCCTGCCTGCCAGGCCCTGGGCTGGGTTGTTTGCACAAATCATCTCATTTAATGCAAGCAATGCCTGAGAGAACATTTTACAGAGGAGAAAGTAGAAGCTCCGAGGGGTTAAGTGACTTGTCCAAGTTCACACACCATTTCCCACTGTAACTTTCCAACTAAAAGCTAGAAAACAATGACTCATTTTTTTTTTTTTTTTTCTGTCTAGATTCTAGTCACAGAGTTCAAGGAGATCAAATGTGTCTGGTGCCTTATAGGTGACAGCAAATGAAATTCAGAATTTGGATTCTCCAAAGCTGTCTGTAATTCCTGATAAAGCAATAACTCAAAGAAGGTGAACGTTCCCACCCAAAATCAAAAGAATGAAAAAGCCCAGCACAAAAGATTATCAGATCAAGATCATGGTCTCCCTCGGAGCTTTGGGGCAACAGTTGCTATGCACAGGATTTTTTTTTGTAGGGACAGGAACTATGGCAAGAATGCCCGAGTCACTCTTACAAATCTTCTGCCCCCTGAATGGTTATCACTTGATTTTGGAAGAGTCACTTTCCATTTTATGGAGGAAAACTGAACTTCCAGAGACTGGGATGATAGTCCCCGACTCCTTGCTTTCCTCCACACTGCGTTTAGGCGAAGGAAAAAAAAAAAAAAAGACAAAACGAAAATAAAAGCAAGGACCTGCAGGTATGAGGTTATTTAAGAATAAAGGTGCTATTGTGAACACACCTGGCAAGATTCTGAGAGCTAGGATTTTTGGAATTCGGCCTTCCCTGGACTTGTATGGTGCAGTGGCAGGGGAGGACGCAAAACCTGTTCAAGAACCAGCAGGACACTGTTCTCAGGCCAGCTCCTCCAGCCTAGGCAGAAGAGGGAGCCTGCCCGGGGAAAGTAATGTGATTGACAGAGCAGGTAGCAGTGCCAATGGGGAGGAGAGGCTAGCTTTGAGCTCACACATCATGCCTACCCCAGGCCCTCCAATTCCCTCCAGCCGCGACATTGCTACCAGCCTGGCAGGATTTTATGATCTGGGCTTCTTCTCTTTGCAAAGTCCTATCTGTAAAGTATAAGAGACTCCTCCTGCCACACCTCTCCCCCAACCCCACATTTGGTCCTGGATCCTTCTCTGCTACATAAAGAAATTATTTCTCTGAGGACCTTGGCCCTCTTCTTGCAGATAGCACATTCATATTTATAGGAGCCTTTGTAAATAATGTTGTCAAAATAGTGTCTGAAGGTGAAATTTCTGTTTCAGATAAGGTGGGATGGGCGAGGGAGTGGAGGAGGAGGAAGGATAAATGCTCTGGCAAGGAACAAAATGAGAGAAGAGAGGGAGGAAGCCACATCCAATCTAAAGAGGTGCCTGCTCTCAGCCCCAGCTGATTATTACCTTGTGGTGATATAAATGTAGGGACACCAAAGGTCCGATTTTCTTCCCCTAGAAAACTTGTTGGAACACTGGGCTCTTGCAAACCTCCTCACTTTTAAAATTTGGCTCAAGTTTTAAGAATCTGGTATGGGACAGATAAAAACACATCTCCTGATTGAACGCAGGCCGTGATCTGCCAATTCTTGACAGTTCCTTTTAGATAGGCTCTAGTCATATTGACCACAAATAGAATGGGACTGACCACTTTGGTTCAAACAAGGAGGTATTTAGGAATTCTAAGGCCACATGTCATGAGACTGAAAGTATCTTGCCTACACTGGCAAAAAAGAAAAGAAAAGAAAAAAGAAACCAAAGCAGTTACCATTGGGGTTGATTCTGACTCATGGCCACCCCCTCATGCAGAGCAGAACTGCTCCACACAGTTTTCAAGGCTGTGAACTTTTGGAAGCAGATTGCCAAGTCTTCCAAGATGCTTTTGGGTGGGTTTGAACCACCAACCTTTTAGTGAGTGGTCAAATGCTTAAACATTTGTGCCACCCAGGGACTCCAACCTCTACTGGTAGGGGTTTTGTTTGTGGAAGACGCTGAAAGAAGTATTCCGTTTGTCAAATGAAATCACTTATTCACTTTGTTTGCTATTGCCCACCAGGCGTCCCACTCAAATAGGAGATGTACAGAATTTCAGACAGTCTCTTCATCCCATATATATAAATATATATATTTTATTGAGAGAACATTCACATTGCATAGACTTAACTTTAAAATGTATAATTCAGTGGTATTTACTACATTCACAGTGTTGTGTAACCATGACCTCTGTCTAGTTTCAAAACATTTTCATCTCCCCAAAAGGAAACCATGAACTTATTAAGCAGTCGCTCCCCATTCCTTCCTCCCCTCAGCCCCTGGCAAACACTAATCTGCTTTCTGTCTCTATCTATTCTGGACATTTCATATAAATAGAATCACAATATGTGACCTTTTCTATCTGGCTTCTTCATTAGCATGATGTTTTTGAGATTCATCCATGCCGCAGCATGCATCAGTACTCCATTCCTTTTTATGGATGAATTACATTGCATTGTATGGATATACCATATTCCATTGTATGGGTAATAATATTCCATTGTATGGATATACTATTATGTGGCTTTATCATGGACGTTTAGGTCATTTCTACCTTTTGGTTGTTGTGCATAGTGCTGCTATGAACATGTACAAGTTTTGGTTTGAATACCTCCTTTTAATTATTTTGGGTATATAACTAGGAGTGGAATTGCTGGCTCATATGACAATCCTAGGTTTAGCTTTTTGAGGAATCAGACAACCGTTTTCCACAGCAGCTGTGCCATTTTGTATTCTCACCAGGAACGTATCAACGAGGTTTCCAAGTTCTCCACATTCTTACCAATACTTGTTATTTTGCTTTTTGCTCTTTTAAATTATAAGCAGCCAAATGGGTGTGAAGTCATATCTCCTTGTGGTTTTGATTTGTTTCTCTAATGACTAATGATGCTGGATATCTCTTTATGTGCTTGGTCATCATTTGTACATCTTTGGAGAAAACTCTATTCAAAGTCCTTTGCCCATTTTTGAAAGAGAGTTTTTGTCTTTTGTGGTGTTGAGTTGGAAGAGTTCTTTATGAATTCTAAATACTAGACCCTTATCAGATAGATGATTTGCAAGTATTTTCTCCCATTCTGTACTTTGCACTTTCACTTTCTTGATAGTGTCTTTTGATGCACACATTTTTAACTTTAAAATATTAGCACTAGAGAGGATCTGTGACCTTTTTGTATAAATCTCTCAGCATTTAAATGGAAGCAACTGAGAGAAGGCAAGACCCTCAAGTCGCACCATTGTGGACGTGAGACGTTTTGGTTTTTATTCTCAACTTTAGAATCTGTTAGCATTTCCAGATGTGCTCAAATATATTAAGGGAAAAGTCACCACTCCTTTTGTCACGCAGCCTATGTCACTCAAGTTGCAATTCTGGCTGAGTCACTCCACAGAACCCCCAGGAAATGGTTGGTGTGATGGCATTTCCTCTTTTCTTTACATCACTTCCAGTTGGGAAAGAACTGGGTAGGGAGAAGCACAATAGTGATGGAGAAAAGAGGAAAGAGAGGTCTGTCATCCTGGGTCTGGAAGTTCCCTCCCCAGGCCAGCCACAGACTTCTGAGCAAGCCCCAGCACATTAGAATGGCCCCAAGAGGAAAGCTTGCTCTGCTTTCTGGCCTGGTGATCATGACGAGCCTCTGCCGAATGGCCCCCCAGCATGCCTGCTGTCCTCAGGGCCTCCCCTTGGTTTCTTCCAGGACCCTTCCCTCCTCTGTGGTATGGGTGGCCATAACTGAAGCCACTCCACTGTTGGCTTCCAGCATGTTTTACTCTCAAGCTAGCTGGAGGACAGCTTCCATCTTCATACCTCTATGCAAGCTCCCAGGACCAGCCCTAGTTTCTAGGTTATCTCCACCCCATACTTAGATTTGGATTTTGTCTCTTGTGGATTCAAGGTAGCATTTTTTCATTAGTTTTATTTTCTTTAGACAAAGTCCCCAGATAGCTCCTCCAACACTGACATTAAGGAGCCCTGGTGGCTCAGTGGTTAAGTGCTCAACTGCTAACCAAAAGGTTGGCACTTTGAAATCACCAGCTGCTCCATGGGAGAAAGGTG